GGGGGGGGGGAGCACAGGCCGCGTGTAATTGAGCGTGGCTCGGTAATCGCTTCCCGCGCTGCGATCCGGCAACAGATCACATGCGGTCTGATGCCGTTAATGCCTCTTACATGTGTTTCTACGTTACGGGTACGTATGCACTGCTCTGTGCATTGCATGGGTGTTTTTAGAATGATTGACATTGTAACATTGTAATTGTCCTCACCTGTTCTGCTCATTTTGTTAAATTATTATTATATATTTTTTCTTTTGTATATAAGTTGAGTCTGGTACAGCTATGAGGTACGATCTACGTGGTTACAAGTTACGAGCTATACTAGTTACGGACTACGAGCTGTAGGAAGGCAGCTGTGCGCCGAACCGGAAAGAGCGGCTCAAAGCGCGCCAGAGAAACGTCAAATTCATTTCCGCCGATTAGCGTCGACGCCGGAGCCGGGGGATGAAAGCGGGGCTCGCGGAGGCGGGCAGGGGGGGCCCGCTAATGGGCCGGCTATTATTTTATTTTCCGGCGTTCAGAAAATTGCCTTAATTCGCAACAAAGCGCCAGCGGAGTGCAAAGAGAATCATCTTCCGGACGGCTCCCCCCCTCCCCTGCCTTCTACAACTAGACATTTTAAATTCATAGCTACTCGCAGGATTGTGTAGTAGGCATAACATAGGCTATATTTATAAAGTAAGAGCAGTTACTTCAGAATAACTTAAGTAATTCTTATAAAAAGACCCGTCAAGTGCTAGCTGTTTCTGACATAAGCGGATATAAACGCGCACTCGCGGACAGACGGACAACATTAATAATTGATTTTCGTTATCACTAATGAAATATAGCTTTTTCTATATTATATTATATTATATATATACAAACAATCCATTTTGATTACAGATTTATCACTTTTGAAAAAAAAAAGAAAACATAGTTTGAGTTCCATCAGGTGTTTGTGTGATTTATCTATCAGTGTGATAATCATCATCATCATCAGCTCACTGCACGTACCCGGTGAAGGGCTTAGGGCATACCCTGAGGTAATTATTTATAAATTTGATCAACTTTAGTTTACTTAAAAGTTATTGTCAATCTTAACAACTATAATTTGTATTAAACCGTTATTTGTTGAGAAAAAACTCAGCTAATATTGATTTAATGTTACTTAACAGAAGTACAACTTGTTGTTAGTACATTATGTTGTTGTGAGACAAATCTCTGATAATGCGCTAAGTGATACCTGCAGAGGTCGCTAAGCCACTGCTCAGGCTTTGTTTTCATACAAACTGCTTTTGTTGTGGCATTGTCTAGTGGTGCGAGCTGGTGACGTCACACGACTCGTGTCATCCGCAACTTGCGATAAAGAACGTATTAGAAACACTCGAAATGTAAAAGCACATTTCAGACAAGTATCTTTTGACTCAGTCAATATCTTAATACAAACAAACACGTACACAAAAGAGTATTTCTCCTATATGTATGTTGATATCGATGTGGAAAGTAAATAAATAATATAAGTATTCCTAAATTTTATTAACTTCAAAAGAATTACAACTATCTAATATTTGTTAATGTTTTAAATTGGATATGTTTAACTAAGTATTTGAGTTAAGTTAATGATATATTAAAGTTAGGTGATGTACAAGTACCGCCCGTAGCGGATGTATGTACTCGTATGTATGGAAGTGCGCGTCTTGTATGAACAAAACGATATTTTATTTAATTCAATCCTTTCATATGAATTTCATTTATTAACAAATTAAAGTAAAGTTGAGTTTAGCAACAGATTATAAGTTGTTAAGTTGGGGCAGGGCGACCGCGGGGCGAGCCAATGACGGCGCGGGGCGGGCCCGACAGAGACGGCGATAGCGGCCGCCCGGGGGTGAGAGCGGGACGGTCTTCGCGAGGCAGTCGGGGCGGAGTGATTTATGGCAGTCGTGCAGAGGTTTCAGTCGGGACAAGACGTGGGACCTCCGGATGTGAGCGACGTGACAACAAACTCGCGAATTTAGCCGTGACTTTTACATGTGTCGGCTGCATCAGTCACTTAGTTTCGCTTAGAACTTAACGAAGAACTTCTTGCAATAGAAACAGTTTTTCGTTTTGTTTTGTTGTTCTCGTCGTCGTTGGCGAGTGTTGTTGTGTTATATCAGTGGTTGCTGTTGTTGTTGACTGGCATGCTGTCGGTGCCGGGCGAGGGGGCGTGCGGTGCGGGCGCGCCGGGCGGGTCTGCGGGCGGTGCGGCGAGCGGCGCCGGGAGCGGCCCGCCCGCCGCCCGCCGCGGTGCCGCCTACACAATCGACAACATCCTCGGACATCGCGCCGCACAAGGTGATACAACTTATGTCCTTATTCCTTGCATAGACAATTCTACAAAAAAAAAATGCAATTCGATGCTTTTTGTTAGATTTATGTTTGTTTTGCTGTCAAAATCTCATAGTGTATAGTGAACTTTGTAACGATGAATTAAATTATAAAGAATAAATAAAGGGAAAGAATATGAATGGAATGACATCTCATCCGCCAAAATCAGTAAGTAACGTACAAACCTGATTGATATATAAACATATAATACAATAAACGAAATCACCTGAGATACTCGGGAAATGTTTACTCCTCAACATGTACTAATGTTATGTTGTAAATAATAACTTACACAAATACACAAATAACTTGGTCCCGCTTCGTGTATAATATTTAATCACATGTATTCTAATGATGTCTAAGACGGCCGCGCTCGTAGATATATGTAAAATGTAACAAGTTCAAACGTAAATCTCTCGGACATGTTAAAACTTTGCAAATAACAATTTCACAGAAAAGTTAATACGTATTATCTACGTGTCAATAATTTATTGTATTGAAGATTTAGATTTTCAGTTAACTTAAAGTGCGGATTATTGTCAGTATGAGATTAAACACAAAACATATTGATGAAATAGAATAAAAGGAAAAGACATCAACGCGTCATTTCAACATGACATGATACACCGAAGATAGCTTACCATTTATGGAATGTACAAAAACTACTCACCCATCCCAAATTTTTATTTAATTCTTTGACACTAAGAATACCTATACTTTAAATAAATAATTTAGCTTTCGTATGACATAATTATAAACTAAAATACAAAACGAATAAGTCGCCACTTGCTTGATTCCTGACCAATTTACGCACTCAAAGTAAGGATAAAGCCGCGACCGTAAATATTACAGTTACTAAAATAAAATCAAACAACATATCTTGAATTACATATGTGCAGATAAAGTTAATAAATTTATTCGAAACGAAGCCTACAACCATTGTTGTAGGACTCATTTCGCATTAACTATTCCATGTCATTACATGGAATAGTCATTGCAAGGAATAGCCGGAAGCAAGTGAATGTGGCAATGACCACCGGACCGCTGTCACACTGCGCCCGAGCGCCCGCCCGCCTGCCTGCCCGCCTGCCTGCCTGCCTGCCCGTCTGCATCGCGCACGCTGATGTTACTTAATTACCTAAATCATTTTATCAATACGTGAAACGAAAACTTTGTACCCCTTTTTAAGGAAATTGCCAGAACTGAAGAACGTGAAATTCGACACAAAGTTAACGTGAAGAAGAAGTGCTAAAGCTGTTTTTTTTATTTTTTTATCAAAAAAAATACATTGCTTATGAATATCATCATACTGATAATCATATCAAATTCCGTACCAATCACCAACGGGCAACTAGTACTTTTACCCAAATGTATGTTTTTTTTTTGTATGTGGGTTTAAATTTACATACGTCAATTCCTATGTGACGGCCTAGAGCTAAAGCGGCAGGACCAAATTTGATAAGTGAGATGTCATTCGATTCGTTTTCTTCCCCGGAGTATAATATATGGTAAATTACATCGGAACAAGACACACATGCAGGAGGCGTACGTATACAATTTGAAATTATTAAAATTTTTTCCTATGTTTATTATTCATTTTGTTTAAATTTAAAATAGTAAAAATTGTAAAATCTTTTGTGAATCATAAAATGCAGCCAAAACATGACGATGTTTTGTGCAGTACTCACTACGGTTTATTTTAAATAAAGTTTAGATTATTATTTTGTTTAATAATAAGGAATAATAATTAGAAAACTTCTCAATTGCTCGTAATTTCTTTATATATTATAATTTAATTTAATTTAACGTAATTAGATAAATATAATCAATGTTGTGTGCAACACGGACAACATAATGTCCAGTTGGCGCGGTCGCTGGCGCTTTAAAATGCTATCCAAGTTAATTTATTTAAGTTACCAGAACAAATGCAAAATTTCAACGACATTGATACTATCATGGTTTTGCCAACAAAACTACAGTAAACAATAAATTATACGCCACGTACAAAACACACGCCATGTGCAAATGTGTGCGGCCAGTTGCCGGTCTCCGGGTCATGCCACACGCGCGTCCGCTCCGCCGAACAGGATTATAGTCGCAGCCTCATAACTAATATTCCTAAGCACCGCGTTGTTTAGCGACTCCCCGCGGAGATGTGCGTACTCGATGGATTCACAAATACGTTATTGCTTAATACATATTCTGCTCACATCGTTGCGGCTCTGATCCCACCGCCGGAGGCTGCTGCCGTGCGTGGACGTGGCGTGGACGTGGTGTGGAGATGCAGCTGTCACTGTATCATAGGACACATGTCTTGAATTATTGTTATGTAACAGTGTTATTAGATATTAAGACATTGGTATTGCGGAAGAAAACGGTTATCTCCAGGGTAAATTCATTCAAATTTTTCCATAATTAAGGATGTTTTTTATATCGCAAACTTTGATCGTCTGTCATTGTGTGATGTGTTAAAAAGGAAGCATAAAAAAATAAGTTAAAATATCGTAGTTATAATAAGTACAAGGATTCATATATGATTCGGCGATTATCGGAAAACGGCTTAAAATACATCGCAATACGATAACAATTTACTCTGATTTCCGATCCCGTGTGTCGAGGTGTAGCGCTGCGCCGCGGCCGATCGACTGTCGCTCCTGTGACGTCACGTTAGGGCGCGGACAGACGCAGATGACGGCGACATACACAAAGTCAACCAGTTACCCGTAACGAGCGACACGTGAAGTGGCAATTTGACAGGATTACTGAGCAACACACACGAGCATATTTAGTTCTATAACAAATATGAAAGAAATCAACTTAACATGATTCAAGTACATATGCGGAGATGTTCTTAAATACGTTATAAAATTGTAACGTTCCGTATTATTAAATTACTTAATTATAACCAAAATGTTCAAAACAAACAACATTTTCAAAAATACACACAGCAGAAACATTATCAATAACACAAAGTGAACTCGTTGTAATGTTTTTATAATGTACTTAGTAGAAGTCGACGTCAATAATGTTTAGATAACAACATATACCTATTGTTATAATCATGGCCAAATAGCTCGTCGACTTTACGTCGCACACGGCGCAGGGCGCAGGGCGCAGGGCACAGGGTGCAGATAATGAGCGAGCTCTCTCTCGTAATCTCCGTCAGTTTGTAAAGCGAGCGGATTACTGCAGAGCCGCTGCAAAAATACAATTACAATAAATAAATAGTGCGACTAATGTCGACTGACGTTAAGTGCTCAACAAAAAGAGTATTTTGTTTAAATCCGAGGTGAGCTCCCGCGGGTTCGACCCCACACGAGATGGCGACCGAGCGAATTAAGTTCTTATGATTAATGTTAAAAGATAGCTAATTGCGTGATAATGATTGTTAGACCCGTGGCCGAGGTACGAGGGCACTGAATCGGCTCCATTGTACATAGTTTAATAGAAGCCGGTGGCGCTGCCGGTGAGGGTTAAAGGATCGATGTGATAAGGAACTCTTCGCCGTGAGAATGTATACCAACCGATACTATTAATGTATTGTTGCTTGAAATAAGGCCTGAGGCAGACAAGTCACTCGATGGCTCCGTCTGTTCTCAAGTCCACTGTCCGCGCAGATAGACACGTCTTACTTTTAAGTTTGAAGATTATCAACCGATGTTATATTGTTTACATACGCTTTCTATGTGTTCAATTGGATATAAATGTTATACTTAAATTTTTCTTTGTATGATAGATAACATCGAAATGAAATCTGAGAGCGGCACTCAATCAGACTCCGAGCACGAGCACGAGCCGGAGCTGGAGCCGGAGCAGGAGCACGGGGAGCAGCTGGACGCGCTGGATGCAATGGACGCCATGGACACCGGCAGACCTCGCAAGGTGACTTGCTCATCTCACTGTATATTGTGCAGTCGGCAAGTCCTCAAACTAAGACAAGAATTGAAAACGATTTAAATTCATAGCGGTTAAATTAACGTCCTTCGCTGGTTATATGCTGTCAATAGCTCGGCCGCTCCCGCTTCTTCGCCCGCTCGCTCACTATGAACAAGTACTGAGATCGTGGAACTCTCGTTAGCGTTTAATCTTTTTCTTGTTCGAGAATCAGTAGCTACCCATAGTCAAGTGACAATTGGTACAAACCATATGCAGCAAAATATACAACAAATATACAAAAAATACAAAAAGTGGTAGAGCCCACTTTTACATGTTCGCACGAATTGTCCCGGCTCGCCCGGTGAAATACCGCGACCACACAGAAGCCACGCGTCAAGTGGAAGAAATTCCGCGTTTCGTCTGATGAATGTGCGTTCAGGATGCCTAATTTGGTCCTCTTTCCCTTCCCACCCTATTTCTTATAAGGAAAGGATGGGAAGTGGAAGTAGACTTTCCAGATGAGAGGATGCATGGGAAGGGAAAATGTTTTTTTTCTGTGCATCCTCTCCTCCGTCGAGTAAATGTAGGCAACGCATATGCAATTGCGTATGTCTATGGGTAACGGTCACTTTGCTATTTTAGCGATTTCAGGTGACCGCTCGCTCGTTTGCCACCTTATGATATAAAAAAAATATGAAAAGCAAATGTTTTGCGCGTGTGTGGTGCTAGTTAGTGTATGTGTATGTGCGAGGCTTTGAGGTGTGTTGTGTGCAGCAGGTGCGCCGCAGCCGCACCACCTTCACCACGTACCAGCTGCACGAGCTGGAGCGCGCCTTCGACAAGACGCAGTACCCCGACGTGTTCACCCGCGAGGAGCTCGCGCTGCGCCTCGACCTCAGCGAGGCCCGCGTACAGGTCGGTCAACAACTCTCTCTCTCTCTCTCATCTCTCACATCATACATTTAGTGCAAACATCTCCTCAGTTCACCTTAGCCTCACATACATCATATAGTACATACAGTATGGATCAGCAGGAGAACAACATCGTCAGCATCCTTCGGAACTCCCACACGAATCATTGCCGTTACTTAAGATTTATCATAATGCTATCGAGCCACTTACTCATTTGACTGAGGTGAGGTAGTCATGTAAATCTTACATTAATTTTTTTACAAATATTTTATCATTGCCTTTTATAAGTCGTTGAACTTAAATAAAATGAACTACAATTATTATACATATAGGTATCTATGCTAAGATGTTAAATACAAAAACAAAACAAGCTAACGTTTGAAGTGTAAGATTGTGTAAGAGGAATCAATGCGCTAATATAGAACGGCACATTGCAAGCAGAAAATAATTGTTAATTCGCGCTGCATTTGCGGTGGAGTAGCTGAGAGGCGAGGTGGCGGCGAGGTGGCGGCGAGGTGGCGGCGAGGTGGAGACGACGTGAAGGCGGCGCGGAGCCGGCATTGTGCCCGCGCTTATTAACTAGTTACGTTTAATCGTCATCATTAAGAACTCAGGCTCAGATTACTAAGAATAGCCCGTAATTATAAGCGCAGCGGGCGGCCGGTGCATCGGGGACTGCGGCTGCTTCTGCGGTGACGGCTGGAGGACATTCGACGGCTAATTAGCGCTCGGCCCCGCACCCCGCACCCCGCACCTCGCACCCCGCACCCCGCACCACGTCATAACTCGCCCTAATTGTTTCATATTGTTCATTTTTCTCCGTTTAACTATAATGTAAGTTTTATAGAAGATTCAGATTATCTTTGTTACACAAGTCAGAGTCTAACTTATAAACTGTGCAAATTATAAATGATTGAGTTACATCGCGTGCGAGTATCGGAGCTGTTTAGTTATTCACTAGTATAGATATAGTCTATCAAAGCGCTTCTTTTAAGTATGATATGAAAAAGATTAATGTTCATATAACTAACTGTGAATTCTCATGATTGTAACAGAATTCATGAATAACTGTCGCTTGTAGATTCTATGACATGTTCAGATGCATCTCTCGACAGCCGCTCGCAGCTCGTTAGGGCGCATTCAGCTCACCCC